GTAGAATTCTAAGCAGCTAGTTCTGCATCCTATAACAATTTTAATTTTTTGTTAATTAAAATTAAATCTTTTATCGATAAATATTATGTTTATTTATATATACTTTATCATATTTTTATTTATAATTTTATAACAATATATTAAAAAGAAAAGAAATTCGTTTAATTTTTCAGACATAATTAAAATACAGAAATGTGTCTTAATTATCATGTATACCATCAATATTATATACTTTCTTTATCTCTATTTATTATTTATGACACTTACTTAGAGTATTTTTTAAACACGCTTGAAAAAGTTGTTTTTATATATCTGACAAAAATGAAACATATATTTATGTGGTAAAACCGGCATAATTTGAGCAGGTTGGGACTTTCGCAAAAAAGGAAAGAGAAGAAAAGAAAAGAAAAAGGAAAAAAGAAACTAAATGAATGTTGTGCAAGTGAAACTTCACGGGGAGACTTCCCCTGATGAAGACCGGTTACGTACATGATATTGAGCGAGTTCAATGAGTGACAACACTCTGCAGAAAAAGTCAAATATGGTCTTCAAAATATTACCACGAAGTAACCCGCATGTTTGGCTTATTGCGCAATGTTAATGACTACGATCTCCTATCTCGCAAAAGGTATATTTGTGATGAAGTAAAATATATCGTCATGAAGTTATTAATAGCCATATCAATTATAAAGACTTCCATTCTTCATTTTTCTTAAACCAATAATTCTGCTTTAACAATTTATAAATTAATATTTTAATATCGGAAATTGTATATATTTATCTATTTTTAATTTATCAACTAATATAAAATATATTCAATATAAATATTATTGTATATGTAATCATCAACATACATAGATACCTATACTACTTGTTACATTGCGTTAATATACAAGAATACATGTATAAAATATATATTGAATGCTAATTTGAAAAAAATTAGCTCTTAAAAAAAGCATTAATAACATATTATTGAGAAAATACAATTTCCACCACTTCAACTTCTCGTATAGGCCAGGATCGATCATCAGGCTTTGCGTGTGTCAAAATTTGATAGCATTATATTGCACTCATCCCTTCTCCCCCAGAAACTGTTTCGTGTTGCATTGCACTTGCGTTTCGAATATTAAAAACAACGGGGTAAAAGCACGCCATATAAGTGCCCCCACGACGGAAAAGAGATCTCGGTTCATTGAACCACATATGTGGCTACACGTGGAGTAGCATGTGCATTCGCAAAAGATTTCGCGTTAGGAGAATGATCGTTAGCGACTATCGCCTCGACTCGGTTCGCGCGCCGGGAGCAAGGAACTGCTAATGCGACCACGGCAATCATTAGAAATCTCTCACGTTTCTTGCGCCACGGCCGGCATTCGCCTGGCCTAATCGCTCGTTAGACAAGTCACGTGCCACAGCACCACGCTGAATTCGCGCCCTGTACACAATGACTCCGACGAGCCGGCCGAGAGTCCAATAAGGACGATGACGTTCCTCTCGAGGCGATACGTTCGCTCGCACTTGCGCGAATGTCTCGATCTTTGCTCTTTCGGCTCTCGTAGAATTAGAATTCCTTCGCTCGCCATTCCCTGATAAAATTCTCCATCTTTCTCTACGTAATCACCAAAAATTAGTATAAAATTTAATATTAAAATTTAATTAATTTATTAAAAAACTAGATGTGTGATTTATTAACATATCTAGACGTGTTGAAATCTAAAACGAGTTTCTTCTTCCAATGAGAATTTTTAATGAGAGAAAAAAACACGACGAGAAGGCAAAATTTAAATATCTTCCTCTTTTCTTATTTTTGATGACAAGATGGACGATTTTTAGTAGAGTCCATTTTGATTCTAACGGATTATTTACCAATTGATTTTTGTATTCATAATATATACTAATTAATATACAAGTATTATGTAATCGTGCATATTAATTTTATCCCATGTGCTTCACAGATATTTCATGACACGCGATTTACTGATTCTTTTCGTTTCATATTTTTGCAAGAATATTACAGGTAAATCAACTATATAAAGAAAATAAGGTACTTATCTTAAGTATTACAGAGAAATTCAACCACTCTGAGATACATCAGATATTATTAATGTATGCATATAGGAAATTAATATTGACATCTATTTATTATCTCTCAGCAGTATAACAGATAAAATAGAAAGTATGTATAATATATAGCAAATCGTAAGCAGCTCTGCATAAAGCTACAAAATTTAAAAGAATCATCTGCATTTTAACAACCGTTAGGCTATCGATCGGCCACTGTATAAATTTTATCAACTTGTCAAGAATTAATGATTCGATCCGCGTCAAAGATCGTAATCTGGTCTTTATGGAAGGTATTTTGCAAAAGAAATTTCTTAATAAAATAAAAGGTTTTTAAAAGAAAAGCAAAGAGAGAGAAAGAGAGAAAATAAGCCAGATAATAAAAAGACAGTGGGCAGACATCCGACAGGATCGCGACGAGATGATCCAATTTGTGAAAAGAAGTGGAGAAGAAACCGAGACGAAAAGCCATAAACCATCGTTAGACGCTCATAAAACGCGAGTTCCCCGTAACGAACGTGTAAGAATCATTCTTGTTCGCTTGCGGTTCCAAGAAGTCCGGTTAGAATTTAGGCTACGAGCTCCCCGAATCTGGAACGCCTCGGTCGTTGGCCTTGCCTTCGATTCCCTGCCTTCGAGATTTTCGGGCGCAATATTGTCGTATACCAGCGTGGTTGTACATCCATATGTTAAAACGAAGCTTTTATCTAACAAACGTCTAGACCGGTTCGAACCAAACATGCTGCTGCTTGCGAATCACGCGACATCGCCGACAATTTTGCCCCAAACCCGTAGAACGGTTACGGAAGGGAGAAGATGAAATCTAAACAACGTCCGCTTAAGAGATGGAAATTTTAGTAATTTCGATAATTTGAAGTTTTAGTGATATTATAATTTTATTTTCGCTCGATTATTATAAAGATAAATAAAATCGATGTAAAATGACAAATCCGTCAATGTGACATTAATTGCACATTAAATATACAGATACAGTTTATATTAAATAATAATAAGATAATAAATACATAAGAAGATTTTTAAATGACAAAAAGAACACTAAAAGATAAATATAATATTCTATTTTAGATAATATTCTATATTTTTATTTTTTGTATTCAATAAATCTCTGTGTCACTCTGAATCTTATTTATCTAATTTGAAGATTACGTTCAACATTTTCAAGAAACAAATATTAAATAGAAATTTTTAATTAAGTGTAAAAAATATCACAATCATAACAAAAATTATTCAACTTGAAAATTTGCAATTGTTAAGCAAAATTAATATTTTCGACATCGATCCTTTAAACGTCAAATAATTTTTCAAATTAAACCTAGCTATTGATTTATGTCAAAATTATTTATAAAAGAGAAGATTAATTCATTTCTAAATTATTTTTGTGTTCCACAATTGAATTTCTTATAATCATCCGTAAATTAGTGACTATAGCTGTATCTTGAATCAATTTTCGATTCATTTTTTCATTTGCGATATGTCACTCTAATTCTCGTTATTCAAACTGATAATGAAATAGTTATTAAAATGCATTAGCGTTATCAACATTGTTTGTGCATCGAGCACTTGATGCGGTGAGCGAAGTCGCTACCGTTAATTTCGCGCGATTATAATTGCACGCCTTTTTTTCTCGCCTCGTACATGCCCGGGCCCGAGTGAAGACAGAGGCTGAGGACTGAGGACGAAGCTCGGGCGCGACGGAGACGGAGGTCCGGAGGGAAAGGCACGAAACGCACGATTCGAAGATAATATACCGATGTACTGAATTACGCGGCCGGCTACCGAATCACTTTGACCCACATCCATGGTCGCCTCGAGGCGACGGGATGCCGGAGATCCGATCAGGCGCCTTCTTCTTGGCGCTCCTTTATCGAATCTACCGTGTCGCTCATTTTCGGAACAGCGATAAATAATGCGCTGTAAGAGATGAAAAAAAAGAGACATGCCATATTTTTTACTGGTAACTGGCCAACAACGGAGAATATTCTATGATAGATGCATGAGTAAAGAGTAAAAGTTTGAAAAGTTTGCGTGTAAAAGACGCGCAACTTGAAATGTCAAAAGTTTGTTATTCTATATGTCGGAATCTGTATTTTACTCTCAAATTTCTTAATAAATCTTTAAAATCAATCTTAAATGATAAATTAGACGAAATTCAAAGTTTAAAATCTTTAATGATAAATTAGACAAAATTTAGATATCCAACGTAAATTTAATTATGTCCAAAAAAGAAATTTAATTATCAATTAAAAGATTGTAATAAATTAAGCAAATGCGAAATATATTTTGAATATTTTGCAATATAATTTATTTTGCAAATATATTTTTATTTAAGGTATTTTTGTCATCAAAATATCTAATAAAAAAAATTTACTGTAAAAGAAATTGCTTCTACAAAAAGAAATATTTTAAATTTAATCATACGAGATAAAACGCAACAAAACTTAATTTGTATTTATTTCGTGTACACGTAACTTCCTTTATGTAAATGTATGTCTTGATGTACATCACAATAACGTGCGGTGATAATTCTACTTGTCACCGGAACCTATTTTCTGGATACTATTAGGTCGCAAAAGATAAGCCGTGCAATTTATATTCCGGCTGTGTCCGCGATTATAATTTTCGACCTAAATAGTTTTCAAAATGAGAGAGCATGAATGAAACATAGCGATGATAATTAATGTTACTAATTAGCACCCGAAGACAATACTAATTTGGTGTAAATTGAATTAAAGAAGTATCGATGAAAGATGTGTCACATTTTAAAAACATTTATCTTTTCCTTCGCTCAAATCCGCGAGATAAAAACTATGTATTTGCATATCTAGTATCTAAAAAATTCTGCAAGTGAGTGTACTCTACGATGGATAGGAGTTACATATATAAGGTAAAGAACAATACCTTGTAATGTTAGACTGAGTGGTGCTCTCCTTCAAGACAAAGGAACAATAATGATCCTAATGCGAATAATTTTACCGTTTGTAGCCATCGGTATCGGTTCAGGATTGCCAGCTAAGAGTCATCGCGGATCTCATGGTCGTCCTATACCGCCTGAGCCACGATTCAATGGAGTTTTCGACAATGACTACAATCATGAACAAATTGGTAATTAAAATAATTCAATTAATTGTATTTCTAATTTCGCGACAAACATATATAAACATAAATATATATAATTTAAAATAAAAATAAATTTTACTTGAATTACATTTTGTTATACGGGTGTAATCGTTGAACAACGCTTCATCAAAATTATATTGTTATACTCATTTTTTTCTCCCATAGCCAATGATGTAAAATCTTGGAGTCCGAATGATCCACAAAATGTTTGGGAGCTGAGTGGCTTACACGAGGGTGACATAATGCTCCATCCGGATAGTCCACCGGGGAAAAATGGCGTCCTAGATGCTACAGCACGATGGCCCGGCGGTGTTGTGCCCTTTTTTATACAAGAAAATGATTTTGGTAATTTTTCATATTTCTTTACATAACTATAATATATAGTAAATAGAATAGTATATCAAATAAATATTTTTAGTTAAATATATACATGCTATATTATTATATATTATATATTTGTATTTTTATTAATCGATCTTGCTCAGAATCGCTTAAGATTGAAATTAAGCGTGTCACAAAATTAATTACAGCAATAATTTATTTTATAAACATATACTGAAAATTCAATTTTATATGTAAGAATTATAAACTCATAGATCGAGATCAAATCGAACTGATCAAAGGAGCTATGCAGGAATATCATGAGAAAACTTGCTTGCGTTTTCGACCTTACAAAGATACCGACGAGGATTATGTGACGATGCAAGCGAAAAATTCGGGATGTTGGTCCTTGGTAGGTCGTCACGGTCAGGGGCAGGTGTTGAATCTACAAAATCCGGGATGCGTTCATCACGGTGTTGTCGTGCACGAGCTCATGCACGCCTTAGGCTTTTACCATCAGCAGAGTGCCGCGGACCGAGACGAGTGGGTCACCATACATTGGGAGAACATCAAATTGGGTATTTGCCAATAATACTAATATTTCTAAAATATTTTATCTTCTGTAATAATTTTTCATGTTTGAAAGCTAACGTTTTTTAACGCGTAATATACTATTTATTAATTTATTCATATATCAAAATCAAAATGGTGACACATTTCGTAATCTTAAGACGGATAATCTCGTGTAATGCATGAACCGAATTTTAATGAACTGTTGCAGGTAAAGAGCATAATTTCAAAAAGTATGACAATCGTACTGTCACCGATTACGGTATAAGCTATGATTACAAAAGTGTCATGCACTATAGTTCCCATGCATTTTCCAAGAATGGAGAACCTACTATTACGCCCAAGGTAATAACCGTGTGTCACATTCGCTATATTTTTATTGATTTTGGTTTACTCTCAATGTTCATGTCATTTCGCAGAAAGAGAAGGTAAAACTTGGTCAGCGAGACGGACTCAGCGAAAAGGATGTAGCTAAAGTCCAAGCAATGTATAAAGAGCAATGTGGCGATCGTAAACCGGAAAAAAGTGATTCTTCTGAAGAGATTTCTATAGAGTGGCTATTCAACTAAAAGTTTATGTTTTATAGAACAAATTGTCCAAAATATAATATCAAAATATATAAATATATATAAATAAGAAAAGCAAAAAGAAAAAATAAACTAAAATACACAAGTACATTAAATGTACATATATATGTAAGCGCACTTTTAAGGTATAATACATATTTATTATATAGCAATTTATGAAAATATCACAAATATGTTTTATTTATGAAGTATAACTATTCTGTTTATGAATAATAAAATATATATTTGATTCTGAAATATTATAAACCTTACGTATCAAATAAAAATAGCATTAAAATTGATCCCTAAAAATAATATTTTTATTTGCTCTTAAGGCACTTAATTGGCAGGACTTTTTTGATTGTAATATGTTAGTTGTTTCAATTCATTTACAGCATCCTCTGCAGCCTAGAATAATATTATATAAAATTGTGTGATTATTATATAAAATTCAAATTTTAAAGAACATACTGCATGAATAATTTACTTACATGTTGTACTTGTTCATCCTCATCCTCAGTTAAACTTTCAATAAGATTTCTTAATGACTTATCCCACACTTGCTGTAATGCTCGACAGCAAAATCTACCCAACAATCTGATCATAATACATGTTCTCGCCCGTAAAATAGCTTGTCGATGACTGAGAAGTTTGTTGAGCTGTTCCACCAAAACTCCTTCATCAAAATATAAATTGACATTCATACAATTTATACAATTATAATATATTGTAAGAAAAAATAATATGCATAAATGGCTCACCAGAAGGTTTTGCACGTAGTACAACTTGTTCCACAAGTTCAGCATTCTCCGGTTGAGAACGTAAAACATTATTTAAAATCGCAATGAGATCTGCAACAACTCTTGCCTTCCTTTTTTCCAAAGCTAGCAATTGCTGTAGAAGTGACATTCCATTCACAATGTAAATAGCATCGCAAAACTGCATGAGGAATTGATCCTTGATGTAGACTAATCTACAAAGAACCAGCATAGCACATTCAAGCGCTTCAAGCTCATCCGCAGATAAAGAAGACGCCGATCTCGTTCCTGCGTTGGCTAAATCTGCTGTGTTCGATTCGCTGTCGGAACGTTTTAACATTAACAATTTTATAGCATAAACGAGATTCGGTACCACTCTTACATCTAAATAAACTTGTTCAATTTTTTTCAAATTTTCCTTGCTCACTGATACAGTAAATGGCAAAGATAATAAGCAAGCTACATATTCGACGACTCGACAACCAGCTGCCGGATTTCTCAGAGGAGAAACAAACACCGAAACACAGTTTTGTTGCAATAATGAGTCGATCTCGCCCTCCATAACTTCTTCCATTGATCTTTGTAAAAATGCAACCCACTCTTCGTTTTCGATAGGTCTCTCTACTGCCCTCAGATCCCAATCTGGCAATCTTGTATGCTTTTCTGTCAATTTTTTTCCGCCGAATTCCTGTTCATAATCAATGCTCAAGCAGCTCTGTTTGCAATCACCATCACCATGTACAATTTGATTCACGTGTGAAGATACTTCGATTTGTTGTCCTACATTAATTCCATCACCCTGAGCATTAGTGTGATGCATTTCCATATTCAACTGTGATATATTATTATCCGTTTGTGTTTGAACAGGTTTTGAGTGATCTTCTAGTATTGGAAAGTTATGATGTACATTTGCACTATGCGGACAATCATTTTGACATACAGAATGATCTGCAGCTAATAGATCACTTCTCAGAGACGCTCTACGACTAAGATTTCCTAAGAGTACATCAATGCTAGCACTAGAATCAGTGCCACTTGGTTCGCTACGACGTAATGCTTGACATTGAGTTATTCCATGCTGACAGTAAGTAAAAGATATTGGATAACCTGGTTGTGAAAAACACGTTCGTTGACGATATTCCTGATGTTTCCTTTCTTGCTCTTGCATTTTTTGGATTGCTTTTTCCACAACTCTGAAAGAAGTATGATTAAATATAAAAAATATATATAAATATTATGTACGTAATTCCTTTTAAATGAATACTAAAAATTTACAATACAATACTTGGATTGATTTGCAGACCGCATTGCCAGATTATGTAATTGCTGCTGCTTTGCTATCGCTTGGCTTGCAGACAATGGAGTTGTGAATGGAGTAGGTGCAGTACCGCTTACTATTATAATTCGATCTTTGACAAATGGGTGTTTGAGAAGATCAGGCCACGTTAATCGTTGAGAAGGATCTTTTTGGAGTAAACCCTAAAATTGAAATTATAGTAAAAGTTATATGTTAATGTATATATATATTACATAAAATAAATATTCTTACTTGTAAGAAGCTTTTGCAATTTAAAGAAATAAAATCTGGCCACTTTATTGCTTCAAATCTGATCAACTTAACTAAATGCAATATCGAATTGGTTTGAAAAGGAGGAGAACCAACTACCAATTCATAAACTATACAACCTAAAGACCTAGAAATGATACAATTTGTTATATAAATAAGTTGTATCTAATAGTTATATGGAATAGTATACATTTACCATAAATCAGCATTATGATCATAGGGATATTCCTCTATAAGTTCTGGTGCCATATATAACGGTGTCCCTTTGATTGAAGTAAGTACATGTGTCCCAGTGCTCATGCTACGAGCAAATCCAAAATCACATAGCTTAGCCACACCATTTGCTTCCAAAAGAACATTTTGAGGCTTCAGATCTCTAATAATATTAATATAATTACCATATAATTCCATATATTACATTGCTGTCGTTTATGTCTAAAATTAATTACATACAAACCTATGCATCACTCGATTTGAATGCAGATAATAGAGCGCAGATACTAAATCACATGCTATTACTTGTGTTCTTTCCTCAGATAATCTGCCTTCCTTATCCAATATGTCATAGAGCTCCTTATCTGCGTATTCTGTTACAACCACGATCTAGATCAGATATTCCACAAAATATCTAGAAATATATGTGTAAAATATAAATTCAATTCTGATCTGACATACCTCATTCTCTGTTTCAAACGAGTCTAACATCTGTACAATATTGGGATGATGCAAATGGCGTTGAATCTCACATTCTTGGCGCAAACTCTTCAGTTCTTTGAATGATCTGCCACACTGTGGAGTAAATATATTGGTGTGTTAGTCACGAGACAGAAGTTATTTATATCTCTCTTGATTCATGTACACAGTCAACAACATACCTTTCTTATCATTTTGAAAGCTACGATTTCACCATCCGAGCGCTTCTTTGCTTTATAAACCTGCCCAAAAGATCCCTCCCCAATGTGCTTCAAAATCTCGTATTTTTTCATTTTGAAACTTTCGTATTTCTTCATCTTGACAGCTTTTAAGTCAAAAGATACACTCTTTACATTATAATATGCGCATGCGACAAAATAAAAACCGCTCGACGTTGAGATGTATTAAATATAGATAATTAAATATAAAAGCATTAACTATAGATTAAATATAAGCAAATACATTTTTTCTCATTTGAATCACTTTAAATTTAAGAAAGTTTTCACAGCATCGCGATACATGTTCTTTCTCTTTTTTTAAGAAGTGCTTCCAATTTGAAAAAATTATTCAACACATATGAATGTAGATTTTTTTACTTTCAACACTTGTTCATATTATTTTTCACGTTTTTACAATAAAAAATTAAGCAATCTTATATTTCAATTACTTACTTTCTCAGTCTACAAGCTTGTAAACAAAGATTATTTGTTATGATTGCGCACTAACGCCCACTTTATACTGTTGAAGCAGAGAGAAATAGTAAGCCAATGTATGATCGGTAAGAAGCCTCTGATGATAACAGAGAAAAGACAATTTGCGAGAAAAAAAATCAATATGCATTTTGTAAACTAAATACAATAAATTATATATGATGAATTAATTCTTTACTATATACAATTGCAGATAAACAAAATAAATGTTAAAAACTAATAATTATATCGTATATGCATGTTTATTAATTTATATAAATATATTCTTTTAATTATGTATTTTTTTCTCATTTTAAATCACGCTTTGTTTACGATTAATCAAGCAATTATAATCGTTAAACAATGTAAGAATGCTTTTATATGTCCGAATCTTCCTACTTCTCAGTACATATTGAGAATTATATCTTTCAGTTTATAATATTAAATTGATAAAAGTATATCTGTAGAATTTTTTGTGTTTTTTGATCAATTTAATTCATAAGATTCAAGGTATAGATTTACATAGAAATTTCTTTTTAATTTTTTGCTTCAAGTAGATAGTAAATTATTTTTCATTTACTAGCTTAATTTCAAATAATCGATGTTTTGAATCTCTTGTCGGAATTATATTAGAAATTAAATTAGAAACTGACAAAAAAGAGATATATTGTGGATTTTATGTTAGTTTTTTATAAATTTTATACCTATATTTTTTTGTTTTATGATGAAAAATAGAATAAGATTTAGCTAAGTCTAGTTTCGCCGCGTAATAGTAAGCGAGAGTTTTATAACATTATATTAAATTAATATATTCTGTCATATTACTACTGTTGTAATATCGCAAAATAATATATATTACAGTTTTTTACCACACAGATAATTTGCATTATATTATTTATTAGTTCCACGTTATATTGTTGCAACAGTGTTTATTGGGCCATGTGCTCTCTGATTGAACATAGTGTCTAAATCTTTTGTAATTGATTTGTGTCAGAATGATTCCTTCGATCAAATTTGCTATTGCATGATAATTTTTATCACCGTAACAAATATTAATTGTACGGTGTTAAAATGTTACGGTAAAATTATACGGTGTTAATGTTTAAGAGTAAAAAAAATAGAATTACGATAAAAGAACACTTTTGTTACGCGCCGCAATCTATTAACTTTTTCGTTAAAATATATATTTATATTTGTAAGAAAATTAAATTTGCTATGACAAAAAGCATAATTTTTGAATAATTGAAATGAAAATCTTCAAAAATGCACAGAAAATATTATTTTTTGAAGATTTGAAAAATTATTTTTTACAAACATAAATCTCACAATATCAAATATTTACAGTAAGAACGAACTGTCATCATAGAATGATAGTATATTCGAAAGCAGATCATCCATATTATAAAATTCGCCTATTAAGTGTTTTGCTTGCAAATTAATATGATAATATATTGATAATAAAGATTGATAATATATATATTTATATGAAAGCAAAACCTATTTTAATCGCGGATTTTACTGAGTTTCTGCTGTTAACTCTACGTTAAGCTATTGTAAATCTACTTGATTTTTATTACTTGCTCACGTTTTGTTGACAAACTTTATATGTACTTTTTAAAATTTTCAAACATTTTGCAAAATGTGTTTTCGACAGACTTTGGACTATTTGAATATAATTCTGATGAACTGCTGTAATAAAAATTATATGAGCGATATAAAAATTAATTGATCAAAATTTCATTGGCAATTATTGTGAATTCATAATGCTCCATTTCTTAACAATGGTTTCCCAATTTAATTTGCTAACAATGACATTTCGAATCATTGAGGATTATCGGTGAAAATAATTCTAATAACATTTTGATTGTTGTTATTCTAAGACATTGATTGATAAAACATGCCGAATCAATATTAATTTCACTACAATGCGAGCCAGCAATCTCAACGCCAGTCTATGTTTATAATTTATCCAAAAGGATGCAGAAAGCTCGATGCTTGTGTAGTTTGTTTTTATTAACATTGATAGTTTTATTAGGAAACTGGCTTGCCACAGATGTTAACGCACATTTGAAGCAGTTTCTCAATCCATGGAGAAGATCTGAGCCATCAAGATTGATACAAACAAGGAGAACCGCTTCTGGAACTGTCATTAGTTATAGACGTAAGTGAAGAAGTTTATTCATTAATTTGTTAACTGTAAAGATAATGTACAAGTGCGTGTAAAAGATAGATAGCGATGAAAATAAAGTTTAAAACGTCACAATGTCTTATGACAATAATATTTTATACACAGTGGATAAGTGGTCTCAATACGATAATCCTGAAGAAAGTGCAGAACAAGCAGAAGGAGATATACATGTTTCGCGAAAATCGAGAAAAACTATTACGACGAATAAAGCTTTATTATGGACCAATGGTGTCGTCAATTATTACGTTCATTCTTCCATAGGTGAAAATTTTCATTTTTTTGACAATTTTAAATCATACAGAAATAATAATAAAAAAACATACATATAATAATGATACATATGACAATTTTTTTACGCCATTCCAACTTAAAATCAAGTAACATGTTGAAAAACTATTTCCAAACATGGGGTTTACATTATCTGCTTCAGTTAATGAACCGACGAAACTTGCTATGCTGGAGAGTGCATTGCAAACTATAATGTCAAAGACTTGTATTAAATTCGTACGCATTCAAGAATATGAGAAACTTCCGGCAAACAATTGGATCAACATTACGGGTCATCAAAAGGGTTGTTTCTCCAATTTAGGACGTAACGCATATAGACCTACAAACCTGAATTTAAACGTGGATGGCTGTTTCTATTTAATTGGACATCCGATACACGAAATACTACATGCTTTAGGTGTAAATCACGAACACATGAGACCAGATCGCGACAAATACGTCACTATAATATGGGAAAACATAGAAAAGGGTAATCAATACTGACTTCCTCCCCTAACATGCAATTAACGCTGAATTGAAAAGTAGAAATAATAAATCGATTTTCAGGGCAAGAATACAATTTCCACAATCTGAATAAAAATATCGCAACAGCTTATGGATTCCCGTATGATTACGATAGCGTAATGCATTATTCGATGACTGCATTCTCTATAAATAGATCGAGTCCAACAATAATACCTACGGTAACTATGCGATAAATTCTCACAAATAAAGATCTGAAAGATATTTGAAAGATAAAATTGTGTTAATATGTCTAATTTATTATATTAAATAATATATTGTTGATCAGTCAAGATTTTTATTGAATTGATAAAATTTTATCTTTTATAGGCTTCTCCTGTGGAAATTGGCCAAAGAGATCACATATCTTATTATGATATACAGAAATTGTTAATTGCTTATAATTGCAGTTCCATGGATACTAAAAATAAATCTATACTTGAAACAGAAGTGAAACCGCAAATTTCGCAACGAATGTTTACCACATATAATTCAAAATCAAACAAATTAGAAAAAAATAGAAAGTACCCTAAATCAGAGAAATCAATGAATAGATATAATCAAGTAACTTTTCCTAGATCTATACATCATAATCAGCCTTATAATTATCCTGTACCCTTGTGTGTGAATCCAATATATTTATATGTAGATTTTCATTTTTATTTTAAGAAATAAAAAAATATTTGATGAAATAAACTAAATAGAATTTTCAAATGTGATTATAATTAAAAAATATATTTAATTGATAATAACAGAGAATGACATTTCATTAAGTACATATTATTCATGCTAGATTTATTTTAAGATTATTTAACAAATTCATTAAGTACATAATATTCATGCTAGATTTACTTCAAGATTATTTACAAATTTACCCACTTTACATATATGAGACACAAATTCAAATATTATCTTTTTATTCTTAAAATTGGCTTATTAATAATCCTTATTTTTCTTTTTTCGTTTATGATCTCTATGTTTCGAATGTCTTTCTTCTGTTCTTTCTGATGATTTGTCATGATTCTGAGATTTATGTTTCTTTTCATGATGTCTATCTTTATATCTATCTTTACTTCGATGTTTACTTTTTTTATGTGATTTTCGATCTCTTGAATGGGATTTTCCATGTTCGCTACGCCTATGTTTTTTATATGTTTCGTCTGAATATCTTTCCTGCCTGTTTTGATCTCTTGATCGATGATAATCCTTTTCCTCTGAATGTTCTCTTTTTATCTCATCCCTTTTGCTATTGTAATGATCATTTCTTCCTCTAGAATACAAATCATCATAATTTCGTGAAGAAGTATGAAATACTTTATATAAACATTCGGTTTTGTCTTGAATTGCTTCATGATTTGAATCATTTGATTCAATAGTCTGAACATGATCTGAATTATTTTGCTCCAACATGTAATCTGTATATATTTCCATTTGTTGATTAATCAATTCTCTGAGTATTTCAACATGAGATTTTTTATTTGTATGAACACCTCTATGTTTTGCTCTACGTCTTTTCAAATTACGTTCTTGAACTAACAATTCCAGAAAAGATAATTCCTTGTCTTGTTTCTCTTGGTGTTTCCTGAAAATAAATTTATATATATATATATTTTTATAGTATTGATATTATAGACATTATTATTGACTTACAAATTGCCAATATCTGCAATATCCTGTCCAATGTCTGGTTTTGCAGTATTAGAGATGACATAATCATATAATGCTTTTCTCTCATCGCTGGTAAAATCTGTGATAAGCCTATCAGATGTACGTGGTATTAACCGCTCACCTATACCTATTATCAAGTGTCAAGAATTCATATTTTTTGAAATTATAACAATTATAAAACAATTAAAACATTTGAGTTAAACTAAGCTGTTTTCTTGCAATTTTAAAATCATAGATATAGTTTTTAATCGTATTGATAAAAAAATGACAAATATCTTATCACAATATATCCATTTTAATTGTTTTATATGATTAAATATTGAGTAAAGGATATGTAAAAGGATATATTGATTCCACACCAAGTATAACACTCATAACTTGCTGTAAAAAATTCTCCATTATCACTTAAAATTTATAAAAATGCATATACTTCCTATATATATTTTACTAACCAATTTGCATTGCTGGATTTTGTTCCTTGGCCTTCTTTAGAACTTCATTTTGTAATTTTTCATCTATAGCAAATATTTTATAATGTAATATAAGATATTACTGCTAAAAAATAAAGAATTTATTTTATATATTTTACAATATGAAATTTGCTTACCAAATTTTATACTGTATGGTGAATCTGTTGGTAAATTTGGCTCCGATAATGGGATATCTAATTTTCCATAACCTTCAGTTTTCCATTGACAAGAGATAAGATGATCACTAAGAGATTCTTCGATTAATTGGTGGGATGGATCATATGGACACGTGAAATACTCCTTATCCTATATAAATATTATAGTTAAGTTATAATAATGATGTCTTTATGATAGCAATCTAATAAAACTTACAATATTTGCCATTGTACTCTCCATTGTCCAGCCTAAGGCTTCAATAATATTGGTGGTTTCTTTATTAACTTCATCAGTAAAATTCTTTAGCTCCTCTAATTGTTGTTTACGAGAATCACTTATAATTTTTGACATATTAATTTTGATTTCGATCAACTATTTCATACAGTAATTTAAACTTATGTCAAGTATTTTGAATTCTCTCATAAATACGATGCATTTGTTGGCTTATGTTATGAATTTGAATCAATTTGAATGCCAAATTACAGCCAGAAATAGTCAAGGAAAATTAGGTTATGCTAGGTTATGGTTACAGTTAAAATATATTTACCCCACATGTTTGTTTGTGCGCAGACGCAAATACGTAATATGTATGTAGTGACATCTATTGGTGGAGATAGATGATGATGTTGGTTAGATGATACGAGGATTCTTCTCGATTGGTACACTAGAAATTAATTAGAATCAATATTTTATTATCGACATCCTGATGTTAACATTATTAGACATTATTATGTTTCTTTTGTAGTCAATAAAATTAAATTAATTATATATCACATGCAATTATATATTACATGATAATACAAATTATATACACATAAATTATATATATCTCTAAAACTATTTCCTACTAAACTATTTATACGTTTCACACGTATGATGTGTGAAAAATAAAGAAACTTGTTTTCTTTCTCTTTCAAAATATTTAAAGACAGGTTACGTATTTGTTGTCTTTGTCTATATATGTAATAAAAATAATAATCGATTCAAATTGATGAACTTTTCTTTTCTTTTTGAGCTTATCTCTTTTGTCTCTTATATAAAGACCCATCTTACACATTCGCAGTTATAAATATTTTTTATCGCGTCTCTCTCAAAATATAAATATACAACAAACATTCCTTTTATTTTTTGTGCTTATTAGTTTATATTTTTAATAATATATTAATAATAATTAATAATAATAATAATAATAATAATAATAATAATAATAATAATAATAATAATAATAATAATAATAATAATAATAATAATAATTAATAATAATATTTCTCATCTTCTCATCTTCTATAAGTACCATGGCTACAATTTTAAATGTTAATTTTTCTTCATGAATGTCTTAATATTGTTTCGCACATCAAGTAATAAGCATCGCTATAACGAATACTAATAAATGAAATTGCAATAGCTTCAATGTAACTGTACCTGCTGTTTTCCTTCACCTGTGTAATGATCTTTTCGAAATGTCCAAAGAAGGTTGTTTGCATCCTAACAAATGGCGCAGCAAAAAAGTCAACGCAAAAACGTGGAAATGTTGAGCGAATAACGTGCAAACATTGCAATTTCTACGAATTCACGCTGCTTCGAGTCAATAGGGGTGGCCTTAATTAAAGTCAAATTATGCAAAGAAACGTATCTCTGCAAACGAATACTGTCATTTCGAATGCATATTATCGAAAGAAATAAAAAAAAGATTCGGCTTTAACATGGCCTCTTGGAAATATATAGTTCGTTAAAACCGTCACTATAAATGCATAAAGCTCTCCTTTGATTTATTTTTTGATGAGTATCAATATTTGATACATATTTATCATTTATATGAAGGGAATTAATCAACCCATTAGGAAAATCATAATTTAAAGTTATCCATGTGACAATATTTGTGGCTCTTTTTAGAAGATTAATAAGGAAACTGTCAATTATTGACATATTAATTAGAAGCAGTCATTGAAGCGCGACAATTTTCGCGAAAATAAATCGAGCGCAGTCGCGGGGTATTCCCGACTTCTCTGCGAAGAGAGAGAAGAAAAGAAGAATCACTAGCTGCCGTGAATCAAAACGACAGCTACAAAAGGCAAGACAAAGTGCCTTTTCGCCGTGAGAGAACCAAATTCGCGTGCGAATCGCGTGGATGTTTCCGTCGGCGTCTCCGATGAGGGCAGAGGGGAAAGGGACAAGGGTGAGAGCGGGCAGGAGGAAGACGGAATGAGTGAAAGAGCGAGATGGAGCGAGTCGCGGAAGAGAGCCGCGGGGAAACGAGAGAGGGAGAGAGAGCGAGAGAGAGAGAAAGAGAGACGAGAGAGCGAAATGGCTCTCGACTGCCGCTACCAGACAAAGAAGCCCGTCAAGCACGATGATGGACGCCTTCATGAACGACCCTACGGAGCCCCGTACATCACTTTTATTACCGCCGTCCTCATTTTCATATTTCATATTTACATTTCTAGACCGCCGTAAATCAGCGAATTTATGGGTAATTAGGCCTTTGTGCCGTGTGGACCCACACCGCGCCGAGGGCTCGGGGCTTATCGAACGATACGGAGAGCCGCCGCCGGCTTATACCGCATAGAGAGGGTGGACTTTTCCCTTTCTCGCCCCCGCCTCCCCCCCCCCTTCAGCATCGCCGACAGTGCGACTCACCGTGTCGTTCCTTTACCCCGCGGAGAAGCGAACAGAATGACTTTTCCCGACGAATTCTCTCTCATTGTCAGCGCGAGGCCCTCCTCTCGCCTCGTCCCCGGCGAGGGGATCCGAAAGTTCGTGCGCGACGAGAAGGAGGTTGCGCCAAGTTTTCCGCGAGTAATAAAAATCTAAGGCAGATTGGAAGGATTGTTCAATTTTATTTACCGCGATGTCCGCCGCGGAACGGCGGTGTTAAAACTTTTACATCCTCTTCGTTAAGGTGCGCTTCCTTCCGTATAGTTACCTATCGTACGTCGCGCGCGATGCACTTGGAAGACTCGCTCGCGGCCAATTCGAGCCTGAAATTGATGATTGCGGGTTAAACAAGTTCGTTTTACGCTTCATTTAGCGAATTCACGAAACAGAAACCAAACAATGTTTATGTTTAAATAAAAAAAATCTACTCAACTTGAGACGCAACAATAATTTTTAAAAATTTGTACACTTTATACGCGAATCTTTGATTATTTTCAAATTGTTGGAATGACTATTCTTTCTTTTAAATATTTAAAATATTTCTCGAAAAGTTATTGTATCGCACGTATAAGACTGCTATTCTGAATAATACACGATCGTGATTTTAATATGATAATTTTCCATTCTCATCTTGCAGCGGCAGACCGGATCTTATGACGGCTTCAGGGAAGGCATCGGAAGTTGACGTCGATGAACAGGAGCTATTTCGAGTTCCTCAGCGTTGCTCGAGAAGGAGGCACTGACGTTAGCAGCGAGCTACGAGCCGTTGAGCGTATTACGGCCTCATAAAGGTCTCCGTTAATATTTAATAGTGCGTTTTAATGGTGCACGCAGGTGCGAGTACATCGTGTCATCTACTTTCCGCCCTTCGCGTGCATCCTAAGTATCTGTTAATGACGGCTTACAACGAAATGGCGAAGTTCCCTCTCCTTCGACTGTTCTTTCTCACTACATTGATGCACAAGTTTGCTGTCACGATTCGGTTGTTGTAGCATTACGATCCTTCTTAAATTATAACTTTATGGTTTTGGCGAGAGTCGTTGCGGAAATGGCGAATTTTCACTCTCTCTCTCTCTCTCTTATATTTCACCTATTTTCATTATTTAATGTGACTAGCACTATTGTATTTGAATGACAGTGAGATAGTTGAGAGTTTTAAAATTAATTATTAAACATTCAAATAATATTACTAACATAATTCAGACAAGGAGCATTTTTAGAATATCTTGTCAATCTCTCTGTCAAATATTTAATAAAAAGTAAGCTCAAAATTCAAGAGGATAATTTAGATTTAAGATCGATACGCTTCAATTAAAATTGATAAAATCTTAGTCGTTGCATGTCTTGATTTTTACGACGATCATTTGCATGTTTATTTATGAATTATGCATGAAATCTTCATAACATATTTATTACATCCAAACAATGCGTTCAATTGTGCCAAGTATTGATCAATATTGATAACTGTATGTAACGATACATCAGCATCAGAACATCCGCATTTATCGCATGCAAATTATTTGATTCGTATTGCAATATTCGGCAAACCGTCTCTAAACATTTGTTGAATGTTTATCTGGTGCATTAGCAGCTTACAGTGCATATCTAAATGCAACCACTCGCCCAGTACTTGTCAAGCCGAGATAGGTAATGCATTGTATAGATCATGTGACGCGTATGACAATGTAATAATTCATATCAACGTGATAATTCCACGACTGAATATGACAAAAACAAAATTTATTAAATATAAATATGATGCATTTGTATATTTGTCCCTCGTATTTTTGACAAATAAATACGTTTCCAGTTGCACGGGAAACCTTTCGAGACATGTAACTTTACGCGGAAAAAAATTTGTTCCAATTTTACTGATGTGTAATTTTTTTATTAGCCTGCAGTGTAATACCTCGTCGTCGCATCTATCGTAACACGATGTAAAGCAAAGCTTACACTAATAAATTTAAAGATAATTTTACTTTGACACCAAAAAAATTCTGCATCACGAATGTGACATGTGTCACGCTCAATCAGACAAAATAATCTCACGCTATGATACTATGAGAGATTAAATGTCAATGGAAATTTATTTGACGAATGGCCGTGTCTAGAGCCTAAGTCAAGTGTATCAACGTCTCGTAGCCGTCAATGCCTTGGATAAGCTATCGGCCGCGAACAAACGCGTTGTCGCGACATAATTTCGCGCGAAGCCCGAGTGAATTATGGGCACGATTGTCGTGCGATATAACACGCAATGAAAGCGTGATGAACAATCGGCGATTGACGCAGGTAGGGCTGCTTCGTGTGATAGATTTGATACGCGCAACTTTTTGATTAGTCCGACGTACTCGCTGCTCACGAGGAATAACAATCAATTGTTCCCCGAAGTGTTTATCACCTTCTTTATTTATAGCATCTCAGGATCTCTCGCGCTGCGTATTTCATCGATCAGCGCGTTCGCTTGTACACGAACGTGCGTAATAAGCCAGTCGGCTAATTCAGAATCACTCGTCCCCGGCGCCCGTTTAATCCCCACGAGCGAATTAATCTTGTCGCTCGTGCCAATCATTCTTTCGATAATTTACGATCAATATTCTGCGATGACGCGACCGCGATCGGCCGAGTCCTGTAACAACCGATTCGATACGATTAATGCTTGATTTCTCCTTCCCATTTTCTATGATTGCGCACGTGTTTCTATTTACGCGCGCGAGATGTGTACGTGCACGAGACCGATTCGTAGAAGCTGTTAGTCCGCTTTTCATATCTTAATGAGACCCGTTTGTCGTTTAAAGTTTCTACGCGCCGTAGGGTGGTAGAAGCGTGCAAATCGGAACGGCGATTCTCTCCCTAAACCCTTTAATTAGTAGTCATAAATTG